GGGTTTAGGGGTTTAGGGTTAAGCCCGGAAGCCTTCATCAGCTTCTCTTGGGCCAGCTTCTCCCAGGCCAAGGCCTTGATCGTTCGGATGGAGAGAAGCGACTCCTCAGCTGCTTGAGATAGGGTTTCGGGTCCTTTAAGATTGTTCCGTAAGGGGCGCTGAGGAGAACACGGTTTAGGGTTTAGGGTTTAGGAATTAGGGTTTAGGGTTTTGGGGTATGCTACATAGATGTAGAGGGCGGCCTAGTAGAAGGGGATCGTATGGCCCTGAACCCTCGACTGAAGATTCCGACCTCTAGTTAAGAGTCTGAGAATTCAGGTCCCTAAACCCTAGACCCTACAACCCTAAACCCTAAAACTCAGGAGTTGGGGGTTTCCCAAAATTAGGGGTTCCTAAAAGAGTACCCTCAATAGTAGGATCCTTATTATAAGGGCCCAAAATAAGGTACCCTAATTTTCCGAAATTCCCAGTTCAGAAACCTCGGGCTCACGACCCTAAACCCTAAACCCTAAGCCCAAACCCTACAACCCTAAAGCCTAAAACTCAGGAGTTCAGAAACCTCGGGCTCACGGGGTGTAGCGTTGGGACAGCCGGGGCTCAAGACTCAGCTCCGGCGGGCAACGTTTAAAAATCGGGGTCCGAATCAATGGGTTTTTTTGGTTCCTACTTAGGGTTGAGGGGTTTAGGGTTTAGGGTTAGGGTTTAGGGCTTAGGGTGTAGGCTTGGTATGAATAATACTGCAAGATACCCCAAAGTTTTGATCGAATTATGAAAGCGCCCATGCTGGGGTCTTCGAGGGTTCAGAGAGGTGGGGTTTGGCCCTCTTCGCTTTGGGTGGTTGCTGTTCTAAGCTCCGGGGTTCATAGGGAGTTCTGGCCAAATACTACTAAAACCTCAAGCCTCAAACCCTACAAGCCTGAAGACAACTCCTGCAAGGGAAGAGCTGACACCACCTTCTTCGATTTCTTCTCCTCAAACCATTCGGCTATAATATACCCGGCTCTATCACCCTAAAGCCTAAAACCCTAAACCCTTAAACCCAGTAACGCTCGCATGCTTCTTCTCTGAACTGCTAGAGGGCTCTCGGGTTCCTACTGTAGAAGCCTTAATAATTACGGTTTAGGGTTTAGGGTTTAGGGTAACTGTAATAGGGAACCCCCCAAAAATAGTAGTCCCCCAAAGTAGTATATAGTGGTATTAGTCAGGCTCCTGTAGTGGTTGCAAGGGGGGCACAGGGCGTTGTTTTCATGGCGTGTCTCAAGTCCCCAGCGAGAAAGCAATGAGCCTCTCTGCTTTAGGGTTTTAGGGTTAGCGTTTAGGGTTTAGGGGTTTGGGTTTGGGATTTAAGGTTTAGGGGTTTTGGGTTTAGGGGTTAGGGTTTGGAGTTTAGGGTAACAGTTTATAGGGTTTAGATCCCACCATTCGGGGGATCTCTGAAACCCTGAAGGAGTTGGAGCCCACAGTGGCCGGTGCAACTTATTTCATCTTGCAACACTGGTTGAAGACTCAAGACCAGTCGCTGTCAGCCACTTCAAGCGCGTGTCCATGAACATCTGGTATGCCCTGTCGGCGTTGATGCGTGTTGCACTAGACATGAAAGTCACCAAGACCCGATGAAGGCTACAACCTCGGGGTTGTGCTGGTGCTGTTGATGATGATGATGATGATGATGATGATGATGAAGGTGATGGTGTTGTTGATAATGATGGTAGTGGTGGTGGCAATGCATGTGTCGGTGGTGGTGCTGGTGGTGGCGGTCCTGGTGATCACAAGGATGAAACTGACGAGGTTGACCATGAGGGTCAAAACGATACTGATGTCCAGGATGATTACGACGAATATCAGTTAATTACACTGGCAACGGTATTGATTCTGATCTCAGTGGTGGCGGCGAGGGTGGAAACTAGCGTGAATATGACGACAGTGGCTACGTGCTTCGACTACAGAAGGATCGAGGACTCAACGATTGAATAGGGTTTGGGGCTATGCTGTAGTTATATGAGCAAGAAACGGCATTCCTGATTATCAACCGTTTATGTTACGTTGCCATTGGCAACATGGTCGACTTCTTTCCAGGGGCGGGTAGTACCCTCGCAGTAAACCTTATGGCAACCGCTACAAAAGCTTACCGACCCCAGCAAAAACATGTCACCTTAAGGACTTGGAACTGCAAGGAGTGTCCAAGAAAGCGCTGTTGCAAGCTAAACCCTTTGCCACTGGACGTCGCAGCGCCATCAGTAGGCTAAAATCTTGAAGCCAATGAACGAAGCATCCCAACACAACGAAAGCTAAAGAAGGTGCTTTGTGTTTTCCGCTCCCACAGGATTCAGTCAGGGGCTCAGGGCTTGGTAATTGAGTTCCTGGTGTCTTGATGGTAGGGAATGCCACAAGGCTTTCTCGAAACTCCTCATGTGCAGATGCAAGATCCCAAAGGGTCCTAAGTACCTATATAGTACAATGTAGGGTTTCTATATTAGGAATTACAATTATGATTTAGGGAAGTATCCCCCATAACAGTACTTAGGACCCTCTGGGGATCAAAACATCCATGCCCTCAAAGGACTGAAGCTACTCTCATTACCGGACACGCTCCTCGCTCAAGGTTTTGAGGGTTTAGGGTTTAGGGTTTAGGGTTTTTGTCCCTTCTCGCTCCATCAAGGCTTTTCAAATTATAGGCTGTCGTGCTTAGGGATTTGAGCCTGGGCCGAGAAGTTTCTGGATATCGAGCGTGCATACGACTCTCCGAGACTGTAAACCCCTTATGCTTCCCTGGCCAAAATCCTTGCAAGGGTTTGGAATTGAGAAGGGGCCTTCTGAACTCCTGGGGTTTCCGATTTATTTATGTAGTATGCCCTAAACCCTGAACCCTAAACCCACCAATTCTTGGACCTCTGAAAGCCAGTGCCTCCAGTACTGCATGGCAATGGAAGTGCTGCACATCATCAAGAACAGAACCGGCACGATGTAGGAGGCACCACCCTCAGAACAGATTGTCAGTGTTTGGCATGGTTCAGGAAGATTGCTTTCCATTTTTTTCGCCCAGATCCGTTGTCCATCTAGCTGGTTAGAGTTTCGGGTTTAAGCAAAGAAGTCGAAGTCACATAGGGACCAGTTAGGTCTTGGGGCTATGTTGTACTGTCTGGCGAGTTACATGACTACACTTGTTCTTCAGTACCCTCTGCTAGCTTGGCTCCGCCGTTGCTGGGCTGTGGGTCACAAGGGGCTTTCGTTTGCATCCGAATTGAATCCTACGCCCTAAGAATCTGAACCCTAAACCCCCGACGGCCCTACACCCCAAACCCCAAAACCACCAGACCGTTTCAGTTGCTGTTGCTTCGATCCTAAACCCTAAACCCTAAACCCTAAACCCTAAACCCTAATCCCTAAACCCTGGCACGTGGGGATTTCGTTGCCTGCGCTCTTCGGACTTTCGGGCCTTCGGATGCTTTAAGGCGGCTTTGTTTAGGGCCTTTAGGGGGCTTTAGGGTTTAGGGTTTAGGGTTTAGGGTTCTTTGTTTAGGGCCTTTAGGGGGCTTTAGTGGTTTAGGGAAACTACCTGTAGGGTTTTGGATTCGAGTTTAGGGTCAAGTTTTAAGGGCTCAAACGGCTTTAGGGTTTAGGCTTTAGTCAGGTGGCGATGGCATCGAAGCTGATCTGCTTCACCATGATGGTGAGCAGAACGAGCATAGAGAAGGGTGCCACAATCACGCAGAGGCAGTCCTGAGCTGTGTATTTTCTGAAATCACCCTTTAGGGCACATGGAAGCATTTAACTACGACCCCTTTTGCAAACATATTTGCCATGCCTCCGTCACGTTCTGCGAAGCACGCGAGAGGCTGCCGCGTATAGCATTGTGGTATGTGGGTGAAATTATTGAACCCAGTGGCTTCTTCGCTCGCTCGTCTGTTTGTCTTCCTGTTTGTACCCTAACCCACACACCCTCACATCCGTCCTTGCCGGACCCAGCCACAGCCCAGCTGCCCGATGGTGCGTTATTGGGCTTGGAGTACTCTAAAGTTTATATAATTTCACATGCTTATATACTAGCCTCCCAAGTTTCCCAATCATGATAATGGTACCTTTTCGTACTTGTCGGATTTAATAAGAAGACCCCACAATAAAGAGGGCAAAAGGGTACTACTGAGAGACCTAGCACCAGGAGTACTAATTTGCAGCTGTAACGTACTGAAAATGTCAATTAAAGGGTCCTAAGTACCTAAAGGGGGCAGACGTACCCAAACCATAATGAAACAATTCCTACTACAGAAGCCTACTTTCTCGGACCCTGTGGGTGGGGAAACCTGGGGATTGCAGGCAGAGATCCATAAGGCTTTTCGGCGTGCGCCGATAAAGCAAGTGGGTAGTTCTCTAAATTAGGGTTCAGACCCCCCGAGTAGCATGGCATCCGAATAAGAAGGACTGAAAGCTTCAGTTGCCCGAGTTGCGCGAATGAGACCGCCCCAGCAGTCCACAATGTCGACATTCAAAATCTGTACCTCGTGCAGGCTCCAATACAGAGCTGTGTTCTGGGCTCCAAACCCACAGAGTTCTCTACCGAACTCTTCAACTTCCAGTTGTTTTGGCTTTTGGGTTGAGGGGCTCCTCCGATCATGTTGCAACAAAAAACACGAGAAATGAAAGCAAACAAAAAGACATAGTACATGGCAGGCTTATGTAGGCCGCCAGAAATATCTGAGGCAACCACGACGTGCAGGCCATACACGCCCCGCAGCAGAACCCTGAACCCTGAACACTACACCCAACAAAACTCTGCGCATTGCGCCCTCCGCTCCCGGAAACCCCAAAGCGCCCTGGTCTTGAGAGCCCCTTAACCCCAACGCCACCCCATCAGGGATAGCTTGAAAAAACAAGGCTTCAGATCGAGCTTACCCGAAAGGCCCCTATAGAAACTAAGGCCACAGATACAATTCCTTAGGTTCATCTCTTACATTGCTTCTACTATGAACTACTACCCCGCTCAGGCCCTGCTATGCCAAGGCACCAGATCGGGTTACCATGCTTCTACTTCGACTATGAACTGTTCTAACAGAATAACCCCCGTACCATGATCTTGCTATTCAGGAACATAGAACATTGTATATAAGTATGTAGATAGGTATGTATACATACACACCTTTAACCCTACATATATAATTATAGGTAGATAGATGGGTAGATAGAGATAGCTAGATAGACAGATCGGTAGGTAGATGGTTAGATAGATAGATGGATAGACAGATAGATAGATAGATAGATAGTTAGATGGATAGACAGATAGATAGGTAGCTAGCAAGATAGATAGACAAATAGACAGATTGACAATTGGACCCATAGATACATAGACAGATCGATAGGTAGATAGATAGACAGATCGTTAGATCGTTAGATCGATAGATCTTAGATGGATAGATAGATAGATAGATAGATAGATAGATAGATAGACCGTTAGATCGATAGATCGTTAGATGGATAGCTAGATAGATCGATAGATAGATAGATAGATAGATCGATAGTGGGATAGATAGTTGGGTGGATAGTTGGATCGATAGGGAGATAGACGATCGATAGGGAGATAGACCGTGAGAGAGATAGATAGAGAGATAGATAGATAGACAGATAGATAGATAGATGCGCCAAGGCACCAGATTGGGCTTGTGGTTGCCCCATGGATCTGGCTCCTCATCTCCATCGGCCTAGAATCGGATTAGGGTTTAGGGTCTGGGGCTTTAGGGTTTAGGGGGGTTTAGGGTGTAGGGTTTAGGGTTTAGGGGTTTAGGGTTTAGGGGTTTAGGGTTTTGGGGTTTAGGGATTTAGGGTTTGGGGTTCAAGGTTTAGGGCTTTGGGGTTGAAAGGTTTAGCGGTTTAGAGGTTTAAGCTTTAGGTCTTTAAGGAATTTTAAGGGTTGAAGCTGTGGGGCTTGGAGGCCTGTAGGGTTTCCGGGGTTTATGTTAGAAGTTGCTTCTCGGAGGGTTTCAGGGTCACAGAGGGTTGGGGGCTTTTGGGCTTTCGGCTTGACGGATACATGATGCGGCTTCACGCTTCACGGATTTGGGGTTTAGGGCTCCTGGGTTATAGGGCAGAAGGGATTACGGTGTAGTGTCGTGTTTCTCGTGATGAACTGGGGCCCTTGAGGATAAGGATACTACCAATCCACGCTGTTGAACAACACGCCACATAGCCACTAAGGATGCCAATGCCCTTGGTAGGGTGCTGCAATGTGTTATCTTGGGTTTCAGGTGGGATAACGGGTTTCAGCTTATCACCCTAAACCCTATAAACCCTAAACCCAAAGCCAGAAACCCTCAGCCCGAAACCCTAAACCCTAAACCCTAAACCCTAAACCGTGCGATTCGACAACCTGCCCGTTCCAGATTGCGGCTTAGAGGCAGTCTCCCGCGATTCTGGCCTGAGTACTCAGAGCAGGTTTAGGGTTTTTAGGGCTTTGGGTTTTAGGGTTTTAGGGTTTAGGGTTTTAGGGTTTTAAAGTTTTAGGGTTTTCAGGTTTTCAGGGCTTTGGGTTTTAGGGTTTTAGGGTTTAGGGTTTTAGGGTTTTAAAGTTTTAGGGTTTTCAGGTTTTAGGGTTTAGGGTTTAGGGTTTTTGCCTCCCACCTAGCTGGACGAGCCCGCATTGCAGGGTTCAGTCTGAGAGCAGGTTTGGGGTTTAGGGTTCACAATGTAATGTCACGAAGTGTGCTGCCTGAGGTTCAGGTGAACGGACTTGCGCAGGAACCTTTCTGCATGTAGGCATCTGAGCTCACAAACGGTTTGCGCTGGGCAGAAACTTGTTGTTGCTGGGGCTGCTGCTACCACGACGACGAGGACGAGTATACTCACAATGCCATGGTTTTAATAGTTTGTTCATGCTCCCGAAAACGATGGGATGCTGGATGATCAGCACCAAAGTCAGTCATCGTATATTTCCAGGAGAAGTTAGACCCCCCCCCCCGACAAGCCCGACAGCATTTCGGAAATCGCAAGACGTCAGTCAAGCCTAGCTTGTGATAGATGCCGGGGCCGAAACCACACGGCCAACCCTCTCCATGATGCAAGGCTGTGCCATCCAAGCTTCCTTGCAGAGCTCGCAGGCGTACGGAGAGCCTTGTGGAACACAATCGAAGCCAGTCCTCCACCCAAGAAGCGACTCGGATTTCTCTAGCGCTTAGAATTTAAGGTTTTTGGGTCTATAGGACTCAGGATTTAAGGTTTGGGTTTAGGACTTGGGGCTTATACAGGCAGCCAGCAATCTCTGGTGACTTTTTTCCCTATTTCTATCTTTCGCGGTCTACGAAATGCGCCCCGAGCTTGTCACGACCATCCCTTTTTGAACCCTAAACCCCTAGATCCTAAACCTTAAATCCCTAAACCCCAAAAGTGTGCAGAAAAACAGCCTTTGATAGGTGTTGGACTGTTATTTACCTACTTTGGGAGGTTTCGGTAAACCCTAAACCCCTAAACACCAGATGACGGACCGGAAACCCTAAACCTCCTTTTGGGCCCCCAAGATAGTATGGCACCCGTGTAAGAAGGACCTTAAAATAGGGACCCTAATTTAGAGAACTACCCACATGGTTCTTGAATATGTAGAATTACGGCCTCATTCCTTAATAGTAGTATACACGGACCCCCTAGGGCCCTAGGAGTAGGATCAACTGAGGGGGTTGTGCCGTACGCATGCCAGAATTCCATTTCCTACGTCGCCTACGTCACGCCAACTCCTGCACCGTGCCCACACCCTAACGTGCAGTTAGTGATTGGTATTTCTTCTTTAAGAACCTACTGTCCGGTCAAGATCCTTTGATAAGAAAGCAGGGAACCCAAAACAAGTGCTACATTTTTGGGTCTAGGTCTAGGTCGTCTTTTTGTGCTCTTTTATTGCCATGGAAGGCCCGAAACCCTAAACCCTCTACCCCTGAACCGGAAGGCCTGACGCGCACATCTGCGTGTAGTGGCCGTCGACCAGGGTGGCGATGATGCTCAAAAACCGGAAGACCATGGGAGATCCCCAGATCCAGACCAAAGTCCTTGAGGTTCGGAATTAGAACACCAAGGTTCATAGTTAGGGTTTGCAATTTAATTTCTGCAGGGTTTTAGGGATTAGGGTCTCAGGGCAGCAGTAGTGGTAGCCACCGGTAGCAGTAGCACCAGCAACAGTAGCAATAGGAGCAGGAGCAGGAGGAGCTGATAGTGGCAATAGTAGTGCAGTAGGAGCCCGAGGACCAGCCGCAAGAAGCAGCAGCAGTAGCAGTAGATAGCAGTAGATAGCAGTAGCCGTAGCAGTAGCAGTAGCAATAGTATAGTCGTCGTCGTAGTAGTAGTAGTAGTAGTAGCAGCAGCAGTAGAAGTCCTCGTCGTCGTCGTGGTTGTCATCGTCGTAGTCGCCGTGGCAGTAACAGTGGTTGTGGCCGTGGTGTTGCAGCTACTGCTG